AAAAGTATGTTTTTATTGTGACATTTGTGGAATAAAGAATTGAATTTAATTGATTTACGTGACCATAAACAAATCAGTACAAAAAATTCATTCAACCAATTGGGGGATTCCCCATGTGCACTAATTTGTCGTAGATTTGATGTGTGTTGTTTGTTTGTCACATGACTGTGAACATTTTCACATTTGGGGGAGATTAGATTTTCGTACACCATGGATTCATGGTACAGTATTCATAAATTTTAATTGCCAACAAAAGGGCCTCAGCAAATCAGTGCCGTGGTGAGCTTGGGCACTGCAACATGAATTGATAAATTTATGTGACCGATAATGCAAGTTTATAAAAGTATGACTGTGTATGCGTTATTTATTTCATGTATATTATATCGTTTACTGACTTGTTTACGGTCACGTAAACATATCCACATAGGCCTAGGCTAGGCTAGGCCTAGGATAATTTATTAAAAAAGGCTGCTGGAAGATATTGGACATTGTCAACCACTGACACCAACATTGAGAAGGCGTTTTAGTATGCCTAGGCTTGACTCTGTAAACCAGGAGGTCTTAAACCATATACCACCTTCTGGTTGTTGGGTTAGCCCTAGGTCTGTGGAGGCTAGGCCTTATTAGGCTGAAATCCTTGCCTAGGCATAGCCTAGGCTAGGCCTAGGCCTACGTAAACTTGCCATGCAAACAGACCAGCGTCCCGTTGCTAGGGAAACCTGATTGCCTTTCTCATGTCTGTGTGGGTAGGCCTAGGCTACCTATTATATTTATGGTGCTCATGAAGACTTTATTTGAGTAACACGATTCATATTATATTATATTGACGCTTTAAATGATGTACTATTTGCTGATCACATAACTTACCTGAATCTGGCTTTTTATCCGCCATATTCTTAGCACATTCGAGTCCCCCTCCTCCGATCGCCGGATGCGATAATGGTTATTCACACGACGACTTCGAAAGTGGATACCTATCGGCACGGCAGTGATTTGCTCGTAGGCGGCCAAAACCTACCCAGCTAACAATACGTTATAAGAACTATAACTTTACAGTGTAGTCCACACCCACCTCACTCAACCCCACCATGATTGGGACTGAGGTGAACAAATTTTAAGAATAGAAATAGGCTAGGCCCCTCTAGACGGTCGGGAATGATAGGCCTACTCTCAGATGGTAAAAATGCTTTTTCAAACCAGTGTTCTTCGACAAAATTATTGACTTCCTCCCGACGGAAGCATGCTCCACCTTTGAGACACCCCTCCCTTCACGAGCGTCGCAAAGGTCTAGGACCTTATTCCAGTGTGGTTCCCAACCTGGGTCTGCGGACCCCTTAAGGGGTCCGCGAAAAATGTGGGGTCCGCAAAACTGTTGGGGGTCCGCTAGATTATTATATCAATTTTTTAATGATTCCATTATTATTTCTTGTCTTACAATAGTGTGAACATGCCTTGAAAATAATTAAATACCTTTGACAGGCATGACTTCGTTCACTGTAAATTGTTTAAACTGGCATTATATTTTAATTCCAATAATTTATTGGTGATCTGATAGAATATTTTAAATTAGATTTTTATGTTCTATGTAAAGATATTTATATAGGAGAGCCACTTGATTGTAGCAGTCCTCGGGTGTGTACCGTACACTTGTTTCCATGTTTTCTCTTGTCTTCCTTTTACCTAGATATTTAATAAATCTTTAAAAGTCAGGACGGAGCCCTAAATTTGACCAATTTGAAAGTAAATGGGGGATAACAGAATATTACATTCAAATTTTGAGTCTGACAGCCACCTACAAGTGCCATAAAAATAAACATTTCCTATCTCAGTGTGGCTGAAGTAGCATAAATCCCCCAGCCTATCTGTAAAATTTACTGTCTGCCCTCCCCTCCTGCCTATGTCGCATTCCAAGATCCAAGGCGAATCATCCTCTATCCATAATAATATTAATATTGGCCAGGCCCGTGAGTGAGTTAATAGGCCTATGCGGGAGGTTCGTTTCAGTGGAAAGTGCGGACCCTTTGAAAACCATTATACAATAACGTAATATTGTTAGATGGGAAAGCTTAGGAAATGCCGACTTGAAATTCTTTTAGCTTGTATGATCTCCGATACTCTGGAGAACATTGTGTCTACAATATCAATTTTTCGTTTTTAAATGCGGACCTTCTCCAGTTGGGAGGTTCGTCGTAACCCCCTTAATCCCCCCCCCCCGCCACGCTACGGGCCTGTTGGTGGAATATCAACCAAGTCGCTTTGAATTATACACATTAAAAATTAAATGCGGGATAGGGACAAAAGAAAATTACCTTCAATTTTTTGGCCTGACAGTGCCATTTCCGACCATCTAGAAGTGGTATATATATAATGTGTACCTCAGCAACAAATGGTGGGGCTGAGGTGATTTCTGTTTCGAATTTCAGGATTCGCCACTTTTTAATGTTGTACGGTACTTTCGTGGCGAATCATCTTCTATCTGTAGGCCTAATCTTATTGTTGGGATGTGGACAATGAGTACTATTTGCACAGGGGGGGGGGGGGGCCACGGTATGGACATGGGGGTCCGTGAAGATTTTGGCATGTCCAGATGGGTCCGCGAACGCAAAAAGGTTGGGAACCACTGATCTATTCTATACTGAGAGTCGCAAAGCAAATTATGACCTCTATGCCCCGGAAATAGCACTCATTCAGACTTAAAATTGAAAAAAACAGTTTACAAATGTAGGGACGGTCCTGGCAGGCTGGACACACCACCGCAATTGGATTAATATGATATATCCTACAGTCGATGTTAGAGACACATTTTGCTGTTATGTATCAACAAAGCCCTTTTGGATCAGGGTGCTATAGAGCGAGGACCCTACTGAACCCTATGGGTATAGGGGAACCGAAATCCGTAATAATACCATACGAGCCTCTGTAGTCCAAACGGTATGACGCTCGCCGAGATAGCAATTCCCACCAGCTAATAAGGAACTTTCGTTTGATATGATTTATAACATCATGTTCCTATATAGCCTATTTGAGCACTGTATTATTATCTATTTGATGTACCGGTATACAGTATTTGTGTTCCCAGTGTTTAGCAGCAAAAACTTGATCTGTGATATAAGATATTTTGTATAGTGCGCCCTCTATAGAACACATATTAGAATTACTTATTCGCAAAGTAAGTGTCACGGTTACACCCGGGCACGCGTCAAGAAACTGTTGTTTTTATTTTTGGTATTGTACTACACGTGTAAAGAATCAAACATAATCAAAGTGACCACCATCAGCTTACCATGGTTAATGTTTTTATTCCGTGTACATAATGGGAAAGTCCAAATGTGTATTGTACCAAAATGTTAGAGGCCGACCGGTCAAGGGTATTGGTTTAATTGCCGATAAGGACATGACAATACGTATTTTTTCTCCCAAAATATTTCTCCTTGTCTTATCTAGATTCACTTGCTTCATAATTTCTCAATCTTTATTACTGATTAAAAAAAAATTGTAATTGAAATCGATGCATTTCAGTACTAAACCATTCCTCACTATGCTAATGTTGGATGCTTACCGTATACATACAAGAAAGATGACATGGTTTTATGAAATCGCTGTTGATGTTATATTTAATAAAGAATACTCTTTTATCACATTCAACGTATGTTCATCAGACCAAATAATCGGTCGATTTGAGATAGTGTCTCATGCATTAAATATTTTTCGTTGAATTGCAGTGGTTTTTTTTCTGAGTCAACGAATTTTCTTGTTTCATGTTTTAAATCACAATCTTTGACACTCTTTGTATAACAATGGATTTTCGCATTGTATAGGCCTAATCATCATCACCACCACCACCATCATCATCATCATCATCACATCCTTTGTATTACTGATGTCGATAAAATTATCACCGTTGTAGTATATAGGCCTATGCTGTTATTGTTATCGTCATCAGTATAATAATAATAATAATAATAATAATAAAAATATTAATCAATTTATTTTTATATAGGTCTAGCGCAGAATGCTATAAACCTCTATGCGATTTTCATTAAAAGCAAAAGCCGGAACAGAATTAAAAGAAAAGATGTTAAAACACTGAGCGAATATCTTTTGCAATCAATTTAAAAAACAGGTTAATTTTATGATTAATTTTTATTTAATTATTTATTTATTTTTCATTCACCATGAACATGATAATTATCACAATCGTTACAAGTCCTAGACATATTCTCAACGAGCACAACTGTTTTCTAGTTTTCTTATGTATTTGATATCAAACGTTACCATCATTTCATATTAAACTTCTTAAGTCCCACTTCTTTCATTTATAAAGCCAGTTATCAAAGGTAGTGTTTATCAAAATAATGGCTATCACCATTATATTTACCAATATCTCGTTTTGTTCGTTTTAGCATCGACGCACATACTGATCTCATTGGCATACTTAGCGCAAAGAATCGAAACTTGAGTTAATGCATCACTAAAGTGGATGTTGAATCTGACCGCGGGGGAAATCACGTTCTCTACCGTCCACTACGTTTACACTGCTGCTGGCCATTACATGCGTGCGCACGCGCGAATAAATTATTATACCACGCCGCATTTAATATGACGCGTGAACTAACTTTTGCGTCTATTCATTATGTAGTAGATTGTCTGGTTCCTGATTGGTATTGGACACAAAATAAAATCGGTGAAGATATTCATCTAAATGCATTGAATTTGCTGTAAAAGGAATTAGCATCTTTATCGATAATTACCATTGCTGTGCATTAGCTAGCGTTTAGTGTTAATTCAAACGGAAGCTTTCGAATGAATATGCCATTGACTATATGAACATATTCTTTAGTAAAATAATATATAACGGGTCCTATACTAAATGAATGCAATAACGTTTAGTAATAGGCCTATATTTTAGTTTTGTATTATGATAATTCGTAACGAATCTTTAATCAGTCAAAGTTTAGTAATATAACATGTAATCATATACTGTACTTAATAAAGGTACAATATGCCTCAAATACCGGTATTGGGCCTTACATACAGACCTATGAAATTACTTTTAAAAAATTAGCACAATAATAATTATATATGTCAGAATCAGCAAAGTCCTGTACAGTACCTTCTAAAAAGCATTAGGTCTATTATAATTCCACATAAAGCGAAACAACAACGTTTGATACAATAATCTTTGTGGACACTTGCATAGATCACTTTATCTATTTCTTTAAAAAGAATAATGGCATACGATTCTTGAGAGCCAGCTGCCTACGAGGTTGCTAATTTTCATTGTTAGGCCAACGTAAGTATTGTATTTTGTCGTCAACGTAAGTTTGATTAAAAGAGTGCGGTTGGTATAGTAAAATATGCAGGTGTAAAGACGGCATTTTCCAAGGAGGAAACCCTGCTTTATGAACCAACGCTGTATATGAACGTATTCGTTTATGAAGTTATAGGCCTACATAAGACTACTTATCCGATAAAATAGTTGTTGGAAATATTAATGAATTAACAACCTCTATTTGTTGCTACTCTCTTAAGAGATGGAATGAATATGCATAGAGTAGACAAATTCTTTCAGTGTCTGACACTGCGGAATCACCGATTTCGTCCGTCACTTGACGATTGCACTGATATCATATTATTCCGCCATTTTTATTAATCAGTTATAGTTAAACCACTATTACATAATAATTGTAATATAAAATTAAAATATAAAAATATAGAAATACATCTATATAATGTAATAAATCATAACAGTTCTTGGCTTTGCGTTTTAATGATAATTTTCCAAAACTATTTTTTGTTGCGCCACCAATCAACGGGGTATGCGCGTATATAAAAGGAATAGTCACTGATTTTGCCATTCATTTTATTTAACGGTACGTTGTGTAGCGTGAGTGATCATTCTCTCTCTCTCTGTCTATCTTAGTCCATCTGACTGAGTTTACCTACCAACTTTTATCAAGAAAGATTTAACTTAGTATTGCTTACGTTATTATTTTGGTTTTTACTTTTTTATTTCTTTAGCAGTTTATGGTATATATTCGTTCTGTTAAAAGAGAGAAGTGATTTAACAAAACAGGCAAGCAGCAGCACAGTGTTGTTACAGATTCTTCAGAATTCAACCAAGATAGAATTTTCGCAATATTATTGGCATTATAAATATATATCTAGGCCTATCTGTATTATAAATTTCGCTTTCGACTTGCCCGTATTTGATTGGAGATAGCCTAAATCAACTTCACGTCGAATTCTAATCAAGTAAAAATGGTAAGTACAAAAGAATTTACTTTATGAATTTGCATTTGTCACATCTGTATTTACGAAGATGTGCGTAGGTACCTTTCTTGGCATGCCGTTCGTTTTGTAATAAATCATGCTTGCTGTAGACCTGCCTAGGCCTAACCAACCTAGGCTAACTACAAACTGCTGAAATAATACATTGTGATGCAAGGCCTACTCGATTCCACTGTGTTCTATACAGGCAAAGGCTAGTGCTTAGTAATATATCAGTCTGGTTCTAAGACTTTAATAATAATAAAAAGAGGATTGTTTTATCTTGATTTGTTGTAACGTATCTCTCGTTGTTAAACGGCTACTTACTTCACTATTTATTTTAGATTCTGATTCATGACATGATATTGGACTGGCTTATTTTCATATTCTTATTTACTTTGTTAGACGTTCATTGTTCCTAAAATTAAAAAAATATATATAATTTGACGTGTTAGCAGGCCTGTTAAGTTACCTATAATGTTAGAACACGCTCAACAAAGGTATGACTTCCGTTTGGGGAGGAGAGGGGAGGGCTACACGGTGACGTGTATTTTGTTTTTCATTTTGCGCGCGGGATCCACAAAAGTTTAGCAGGTGCAAGTTATTTTTAGCTCGTGGCCCTCTCTTCAAACATGATTAGTGACATGACACTGGGCGGTGCAAGTACACCGTGATTGACAGGACAGAGGGTGGTAATGCGAGTGTCTGGCCTAGATAAGATACAGACAGTAGTAGTAGTAGTAGCAAATTGCAAATTGCATTGCGATTGTCAGTCTGGGAATGGTAGGAAGGACTACCTCAGCTGCAAGTCTAGCAACTTCCTCCATTTTATTAAGTTTTTCTTTACCTTTAGTCCTGCATTAAATATTTATGTAGTCGTCAAATCCAAGGGTAGACCAGTTGCTATTCTATTCTGCGTATTCAGTATTCTAACTCTTAAACATGTCAGTGGAATTTCAACACAGTTTTCAGGTAGGCATACACCTTTTCCCTAGGCTAAACAGTTAAATCTGGTTGTATTTTGAAATGTGAAAATACATTTAATTTCATGCATTTTTTATTTTCTAATGTGAAATGCTTAATTAAAAATTGTAAATAATTAAATTGTCAACAATAGTATAGCATACTAATAATATTATAAAGAGTGTGGCCTATTCTAAATAAATTGCATATAAAATTGATTAGATACCATGGTTTCTCAAAAAAGAAATAAATACAAACTTTGGACTTTCTAGGTTAGGTAAACTATATTGGCCATGAATGTGTAGCTGTTCAATAAACCATCCATCCATCCATGCATAATAATTAATATATCAGAAAGAAGAAATGGCATCCATTACATTATTGTATTTTTATGTAAACAGAAAAGAAAATATATTTTGTGGGCTTGCACAACCAGTTTTAAACATTTAAATGTATACAAGCTAGACCTCACTAATCAATTTTTGTAAAATGTTAGTACTGTACTGATTATTCCACTATCATTGTTCAAAAAAAGGTTTTGAAGTCACATCAACATCTGCCATATCAATAGGCAATTTCCCTTTTCAGTGTAGCTTGTGTACATAGCCACCTATTGTGCAGTAAACAAAGCTAACATGGAATTAAGATTGAATAGTAGTAGTGATATAAAAAACAAATCCAGTGTATTCTTGAACAACAACTTTTATTCAAATTCAAAAAAAGTTTATTTAAAATTTAATGTTTTGAAAAAGTTGATTTTACAAATTATTGGATCATAAATGAATTGATAAAAAAAAAATACAGAACATTTTCCTATACATTTTAGGAAGTCAGCAGCCCACCATAAATAATATTGTCTTGACTTTATTTAACCCGTGAATAATTATATAAAATAGCCTTTGTAAACACAAGCCTATTATATACTATCTTTTGCTTTAATAGGTTCATTTACAGTACTAGACAAGCTGCTGCATCCAGGGCATGCACAGACACGTGCTGTTTTATAAACCAGGGTCTTCCCCTATTCAGTTCTGGGACCCTGGGAAAATATTGATACATTTTTGTAATAATGATGGGCGCTCTTGCTAAAGGGTCAACAAATCTTATTTTTGTACTGTACTGTGTGCATTAGCACATCTCTAGGCCTAACTTTATGTGTGAATACTGTAATGGAAAATTTTGGATATTTACTACTGATATTGGTTTTTATTTGAAGCAAAATTCAAAAGCCTCACTTGAAACTAGGTCATTTTGTTTGTAATGAGGAATATATTCTTAGAGAAGCTACAGTAGTTAGGAGCATGATGCATGTATGTCAGATGTTTCAGTTCACATTAATCTACAAAATGACAACTGATTACTATTGAAAGCAATTTTTGTAATTTTCTAAAGGAGCTACTCTGGACTAATTGATGGCCCTGGATACATTCATACGAATCCTTGTCGATTGCGATTTTAAGCACTATACACCTTAATATTGGCATTAAATAATCATCAGAAATTTTTATAGCATTTTGTTCCTTAAAAGTAAATTTTAAATATTGGATGCTTAAGTTATTTTTTTCAGCTGTAAGTAACCTATTAGTTATGTGCCTTTTTCTTTTCCCCTGTATTCTGTATTAGGCCTATATATTTGTATAAACTAGAAAGAAATCAAATGTTACTTTTAAATTAAAATTTCTACTAACAAAATTTAATTCACAAATACTGTATTTTTTAAGTAGGCCTACTTATTTTTAAAATGACATCTTTGAAAATATGACACATCCTCAACACAAGTGACGCACTTACCATATCAAGCTCTATCAAATAATTAATACTGTATTACAGGGGTATTCATATTACTCATTTTTTTCTAGGCATTGCGAGACTGGTAAATAGCAGGAGAAGTAAGAATTATAATTTGAAACCTAATTCTAATTGACAGGCTACAGAAAATTATATGCATTGGGTGAAATGTGTTTGCTCATTAAACATGGCAAAATTAAGCAGCGAGAATATAAATGGGCTTTGTTAACCAAGCCTGTCGCACAGTTGTTATGAGCTCTTAAAATGATATTACAAATGCATTTGGCATAATGGAAGTTCCCTTGAAGAAAGCATTAAGTATTGTAGAAGCCTACGAGCAGGGGAGTAGGTCAGATAAATGATTAGATTTCTAAGTTTTTAACCATTACACACTTGCGTGAAAAGACGGTGAGCAAATCATTCTGTGACTAAAATGCTATTAACTGCTTTTGGAATGTTAATGCACTTACTGTATCTGATATTTGAATGAATTTATATTTAGAAAATTAATTCATCTGCAAGATGTAGAATTATGAATATCATAGTTAAATAAGTTTAATAATAAATTATAAATTTAATTTAATTTAAAATTTTGTTAGAATTATTTAGTAAAAAATTTAATTTTGATACTTGAAAAAAGTTGAAATTTCATAATTCTAATTATCTGTTGTGAGATAGATTTCTTTATCTCTAGTCTGACTTTTGAGTTAAAACTAGATTGCAGCGTGGCATAATAATTTTTTACATTCGTAAGCAATTTTGCCGCTAGAGACTTGGCTTTAAATAGGAATGTACAAACTCCTGATCAAGAGAATTTAAATGGCAAGAAATGAACTAAGGTTTTAATTTTCTTTCTTTTTTTTTTTTCAGACGACTATGGATGGACAAATTCCAAATGTAAATGGCATGACAATGTGCCAAAAAGCAAATGCAATGCAACAGTGTGACGAGGATGGATCTCGAACCAATATAATCGTGAATTACCTGCCACAGTCCCTAACACAAGAGGAGCTAAGATCATTGTTCAGTAGTATCGGGGAAATTGAGAGCTGTAAACTGATCCGAGACAAAGTTTCTGGTGAGTGCAACCCCTGCTTATAATTTCTTCTCCCCCCCTCCCCCTTACAAAAATAAATCTTGTAATTGTAAAAAAACGATAAAATATCACACATAAGAGGATAAAATGCCTCAATCAGTAACATTGATGTTGGTGTACTCTGGAAATAAAATTTCCAGAAAATGTTGCCTATAGTTACAATCTTTGCCGCTAACTGTAAAGGGCCCCATTGACAATTCGACAAGGCAAATGTCTGTTTTTAATGGCTGTCTTTGCTTATAAAGAAAAAAAAACTTTACATTCTTGTAGATGATTTGGGTACAACAATGTGCCAAAAAGCAAATGCAATGCAACAGTGTGACGAGGATGGATCTCGAACCAATATAATCGTGATGTACTATACCATTTGTATACATGATTATAATGCATACATGATTAAAACTAACTTGGGTCACATGTTAAATCAGATACAGATGGTTTATATCCTACTAAACTGATACTCCCCATCTCCTCCCCCCCCCCCCAACCAACCCTCCTTTGTGAATGCATTAAAGGGAATTAGTTCATAAAACCAGTCCCTCTGTTGTTTATTTTA